TCTTTCCCTTCTCTTCCTTCCTTCCTCTCTTTTCCTTTTTCTTTCCTTCTCTCTCTTTACTGCTTTCCCTCCTTCCCTTCTCGCTCTTCCTTTCCCTCCTTTCATTCTCTCCTTTTCTTCTTTCCCTCCTCCTTCCCTTCTCGCTCTTTCTTTCCCTCCTTCTTTCCTTCTTTCTTTTCCTCTTTCCTTCTCTTTCTTTCACTCTTTCTTTCCTTCGTTCCTTCTCTCTCTCTCTCTCTTTCCTTCCTTCTTTCCTTCTTCTGTGGCCCAACTCTAGTGAGAAGGGGTTTAAACTTCAAACCCAGGGCTCTTCAAACCCATTCTCTCTTCGCTTCCCCTCCCCCCAGCCCGCCTAGGCAGGACAGCTGGGAAGGGAAGGGGAGGCTTTTGAAGATGTCTCCCCCCCTTTTGCTTCCCCTTCTGACATCACTTCCGGCAATGTCAGGGGGCGTTGCATATGCTAATGAGCTATTATGCTAATAGCCTAGTAGCTCATTAGCATATGGTATGCTAATGAGCTCCTGCAGCTCTTTTTCTAGGAAAAGACCCCTGGTTATATGTAATGCACTGTTAATTTAAATATAAAATGAATTTGTAAGAACTGCTCATTAGTAAGGTTATCACGGTTTTAACATTTTGAAACATCATGATGGACTGCAAGATGTAGAATGCTTTTATGCTACTCCGTGGATCTTTATGCTGCAAGAAGAAGATATCCCATCTAATACCAGGTATCTAGTGTATTAAATAGAACAGCTAGCATCTTTATCTTCTCTTTTGCTAAGCAATAGAGATTGTACTGCATAGTGAAATCTTTTTTAACCTTTACATAAATATATATATTTTAGAGGTCTGCTTTATTTGTGTGCGTTTAACCTTGAGGACCCACAGGGCTGGGTAATGCTCAAAGGACAAGGAGCAGTGAGCCGGGGGACCCAGGAGTGGGTCCTTGGAAGGCACATACATGCCCCTTCTGGATCCAGGCCTGCCGTTTAGTCTCCTGGACGCAGGTTTTCAAATGTGTCTGTTTCAAGAAGTCCAGGGAACATCACTTACTCTTCTTTTTGGTATTCGTTCCCAGGCAAGATCTTCACGTAGGATTTGGGGAACCATCCTCTTCCTCCTCCTACTTCTCCAAACCACCAGTTTTCCTGCTGCTCCAATACAATAATGATGTCACTTTTGGAGAAATTCAAGTGGTTCTCTTTTTTTGCGGTCCAGGAGCAGAGCGCCTGGGCTTTTAAGTTCTCCACAACTTGACCCTGCAAAAAAAACAAAAAACCAACGCATCAGTTTCAATAATGTGAATCACTTCTTAGAAAGTATTTCCTAAAACAGCAACTACGGAATTTCTGCAATGCAGCACCTGCAATTGTTTAATCGGGCGTTAAGCGGCACAGAGAACGGGCAGGGCATCCCCTGAATATAGACTACTTGATGTTATAAATGACCTATTGAACACTAGATATTGAGGTCTATTTACATTTGCCACTAAAGGCAGCTCAGTTTCCCCAACTGTGTATTTTAGATTTTTGTTATCTGGCCCCCGTTCAAATAAATTAAGGCAAATTTAGTCATCAGCCGATAAAACCTCAAGAAAAGTTAATTTTTTAAAAATCTATTGTCATTTATAGTCCCATCTTTCTTACTAGGACTCAAGGCAGATTCCAGATACATCTTTTAAAAAAAGATTTGTATAAAAGGCTGCTAGATATACATGCATGTTGCACTCTTCTGTTACACGGCTTGAAGTCCAATGATTCAAGCCAGGACTTAGGTATTATCTTCCTCCTATTATAGTGAAGGTACATCTATTTATTTACTTCATCTATACTCCACATTTCTGCCCAATGGGAACCCAAAGCAGCTTACATCGTTTTCCTTTCCTCCATTTTATCTTGACAACGACCCTGTGAGGTAGCTTAGGCTGAGAGAGAGGATTTGTCTGAAAGTCACCCAGCAAACTTCCATGGCCGAGTGGGGATTCGAATCTGGGTCCCCCATATCCTAGGTCAACACTGTTACACAAAGACAGAGGGACATAAAACAGCTCCCTTGTTAATAAAACATACCTGTCCGCGGATGGGAGAAACAGATCCCGGGGAAACCGTACGAGTAAAGGCAGATTTCTTCTGCCACGTGTTAACATTTAGGCTTGAGAAAGACACATTTTGGTAATCTGATTCATCCGCAGCTTTACCTGGTGAAAGCGGCCTGCAAAACAAACATTTTTTTAAAAATAATGCCAACAGCTGGACTTCTTAGTGGTCATGTGGCAGGCAAGGTACACCTGCAGTGTTTGGGGCTGTGCTCTTCACAATTCAGAAGACTCTTATGGATGTAAGAGGCGCCTGGCTGGACGAGACCAGTGGTCAATCGAGTCCAGCATCTGGTTTTCTGCAGCAGTCAACCAGTTGGCTTGGAGGACTGACTAAAAGGATGTTGCCTAAGAGCCCTGGCGTTCAGGTTGACTTCTTCTGTACATTAATAATAATAATAATGAGAAGAATTGGTTTTATACCCCAGCCTTCACTACCTGAAGGCGCCTCGGAGCAGTTTACAATCTCCTTTCCCTTCCCACAACAGACACCTTGTGAGGTAGGTGGGGCTGAGACAGCTCAGAGAGAACGGTGACTGGCCCAAGGTCACCCAGCAGGCTTCACGTGGAGAAGCGGGAATCAAATCCGATTCTCCAGATTCGAGTCCGCCGCTCTTAACCACTACACCACAGCTGGCAGGAGGCGCGCGCACACATGTTCGTAGTTTGTAATTTGTAAAATTCCACCAAGCTTTATGTGGTGGGTTGAGGTGATGTTCTACTTACTCTGCAGGAACTGAGGCAGCTGGCAGAGATACCATAGGGGGAAGTAAGGCTTTCTTCGGAGATGGAAACGCTTTCTCGCTTTCAGGTATTTTTTCTACATAATTGCTAGGAAACCACCCAAGATGTCCTTGGAAGCTCCCATATAACCAGCCAGGCTCTCCCTCCGTCTTCTCATCTACCTGAAGAAACATTTGCAATACACAAACATACACCAAGTTTGAGTCCGGTGGCACCTTTAAGACCAACAAAGTTGGATTTACACACACACTCAACAAAGATCCCTGGGGATGTCACTAAACTGTTACAAGCAGGGGTCTCCAAAAGGGTGCCCGTGGACACCATCTTGCCTGGCAACATTTTTCCTGGCCCCCAAGTGTTTATAGAAAGGGAGTGGGGCCAGTACAGCTTTTGCCCAGCAGTAGGTACCAATGCTCCCTCTAAGCCAGTGATGGCGAACCTTTTCGAGACCGAGTGCCCAAACTGCGACCCAAAACCCACTTATTTATCGCAAAGTGCCAACACGGCAATCTAACCTGAATACGGAGGTTTTACTTTAGAAAAAACAACCCATACATTAACTTAAGATGATCCAAACAAAGGAAGGAAAGCAATCCCAAATGCTTTCATTTACTGAAAATTATTTGGCAGAGAATTCGACACTTTAATGACGGTCTGGGCCTGGCTGGGGCGATGGCACGCATGCCCGCAGAGAGGGCTCTGAGTGCCACCTCTGGCACCCGTGCCGTAGGTTCGCCACCACTGCTCTAAGCTGTGGAGTCTTGTGAGCAAAAATTCCACTTTGTGAGCTACTGGCATTAAAGTTGTGAGCGAGCAATTTGGCTGCTGCAGTTTGCTCTGGAGCCATCCCTTCCTGAGCCGAGACAAAATCTGTGAGCTGGAGGCTAAAAAGACTGTGAGCTAGCTCACACTAACTCAGCTTAGAGGGAACACTGGTAGGTACCACCACAGCACAAACATCTTCACTGCATGGTTGAAGGTAAGCTTCAGTGACCATTTTTGGGCTGTGCCCATTGCACTATGCCAGAATTCCTATGGAGCCCATGCGCTCAAAAAGGTTGGGGGGCCCTTGTATCACAGTATCAGTTTCCCACTACTTCAATGATCAGATAGGTCATTTTAATTTGCTGTTGCTGCTGTTCAATACATTTTGCAGCAGGGGTGTCGAACTCATTGGCTACAAGGGCCGGATCTGACATAAACGAGACCTGGTGGGGCCGGGCCACGTGTGTCATAAAATGTAATGCCAGGTCGCGGAGATATAAACTTGATAAAGGACACAGACACAAAGATTTTTTTTATTACTTAAAATAAAAACATACCTAAAACGTTAGCACTCTTGCAATATTTTGTTTATTTAACACTGTCTGATAACTGACACCTCTTGCTCTGAATTATTGCATCAAAATGTCTGTGCTGTTGCAATCTTGAGTATGCTGTTCAGGTGTGTATCTGTAAGCTGCAAACCTACGATGACGCAGCAGCAGCAGAACTGGAAGAAGCAGAAGACAGCCAGTTCCACTGCAGGCCTGATAGAAGCCCTCCAGGGGCCTGATTTGGCCCCCAGGCTGCATGTTTGACACCCCTGTTTTGCAGAGATGTGAACAATCAGATTTCATTAGAAATAGACGTCTTCTTTGGAACTCAAGGAAATAACAAGCCAGCGCCCCAGTCATCCGTATTTAAATTGTATTTCTTACCTGAATTATATCTCCAGCATTGAAACTCATCTCATCATGATTCCTGGCTTCAAAGGAGTATAAAGCTCTGTAGTTCACAAAGGCAGCTGATTTCCTAGAATCAGAGGCACTCACAGTACGGCCTGAGAAGTCAAGGGAGAATTCATTATAGGCTGCCCACCTTGGGTGTTTTCTCCAAAACAGCATCACAGGGTTTGCACCAAGGGCACTAAAAGAGCTTCCAGCTCAAACTATGGTTTTAAAAAAAGGCTAGTTAACTAAAAGCACCAGAAGATACCATGCAGGCAAGAAGGAGGAGGAGGAGGAGGAGGAGGAGGAGGAAGGGGAGATTGGATTTATACCCTGCCCTTCACTCGGAGTCTCAGAGCAGTTTACAATCTCCATCCCTTCCTCTCCCCACAGCAGACTCCCTGTGAGGTAGGTGGGACTGAGAGAGCTCTTTCGAGGACTGCTCTTGAGAGAACAGCTTTGAGAGAACTGTGGCTTGCCCAAGGCCACCCAGCAGCTGCATATGGAGAAGTGGGGAATCAAACGCGGTTCTCCCAGATTAGAGCCTGCGCTCTTAAACACTACACCAAACTGGGTCTCAAATGGCAAAGTATATCAAGCTACCCAGTAAATTGTATCTCCACGAGGCACGAGGATACCTTCGTTTTTCAACGTTGACTTAAGGTTGCGACTCTCCGCCTGTTTCAGGAGCCCCGCAAATCTCTCGTTTAAGCGAAGCTGAGAAACGGGCTTTTCGGGTTTCTCGGACTCCTGCAGGTTCGCCATGTCTTTTCTCCGCTTCTCTTCCTCCAGCTGTTTGCGTCTCTCCTCTGCCGCTCTTGCAATCTGCTCCTGCCTTCTTCTTTCGTCTTCCTGCTGCTTCTGCCTCTGCAGTTCGGCATCCCTGAGCATCTCTGCTTGCTTCGTTTTCTTTTCATCCGTTAGCTTTTGCTGCTGGGCTTCCTCCTCTCGTGCAAGGGCCTCCTCGGCTTTCTGCTGCTCCTCGTGGATTTTCTCCTAGCTCTTCCTGTAGTCTCTTTCTTCTCTCTTCTTCCTCCCTCCGGATATTCTCTTGCCACAGATTCTCCTTGTCCCGTTTTGCTTTTCTTAAAGAAAAAGTAGGGAAAACACCATCAATGAAATAACCTTCACTGTATTTTCACAGAAAAATGAGCACTGGCACAGATTATTAAAGGAGATGCTCTGGGTAGGGCCTTATTCTCTTCCTGAGAATGATGATGAGAGTCACCATGAAAAATGGCCATACTGCTTGTTAAATGAATGAATTAAATTTCAACGCTCTACACTCTGACAAAGTTGTCAGTGAAACGAGACCTGATATGCATAGTCCGTTAGTGCTGATGGCATTATTATGAATGATTTTTGAGAGATTGAATTACTCCGTGTAAACTGAATATTGGATAATACCTGCTGCTAAAATTGGAAGACTGGGTGGCGGAGGAACAAATTATCCACCCCTCACAGGCAGGATTTTGAAAAGGGTGTGGAACCATAGACCACTGCCAAACCCTTTACATGGGCTTTTTTGTAGAAAAAGGCCAGCAGGAACTAATTAGCAAAATAGTCCACACCCGATAGTAGAAACTCATTAGCATATTAGGCCACACCCCCATGCCTTCCCTTGGCTTGCCCGGGTGCCCCGCGGCTGCAGAGCGCCCAGGCAAGCCGGCCCTTGGAGGGGAGGGGAGGCACAGGGAGGCATTTAAATGCTTCCCTGATCCTTCCAGGGGCCCCCCTGGCCCGCCCGCCTTGAACTCCAAGGCGGGTGGACTCCAAGGCGGGCGGGGTCACTCTCCAGGCCTTCCCTCTATAGCCATGCAAGCACAGAGGTTTTGGCTGTAGGCGTGGGCAACTCGGAAGCCAGCCGGAACTCCGTTCCTGTGCGTTCCTGCCCCAAAATAGCCCTGCCCTTTCTCAATTAGCGTACGCTGGTATAAATGGTCCAACAAAGTCACTTTACGGCACTTTATGTTGCGTTTGTACATTTGGTTGTATTTGATTCCACCCCTAACCCAAATTGAACATTGACAAGCGGCTACTATTCCTACTTCGAGAGCTTCATAGGGACACTCGTGCCCAAGTAAGGGTGGGAACCGCTGGTTCCCTAACTAGTAGTATCTCCATCAGTAAAGGAGTTAAGCAGGGATGCGTGTTGGCCCTCAGCCTAATTCAATTTGTATATAAACGACATAACGGAGTTTCTGTCAGGCCCGCAATTTTTTTCCACCCTCCCTGGGATAACAGAAAATTTCAATTCTTTTATATGCAGATGATATGGTCCTAATCTCACTGACCAAAATAGACTTGAGAAAACTTTTACACCAACTGGGGCAATACTGCAGCGAAGAAGCTCTCAATGTTAATTATGCAAAGACCAAAGTAATGGTCTTCAGAAGAAAGCCCAAAATTTCTCTTTGGGGTATTCTTGGTAACCCAGTTGATCAATGCAGTTCATTTAAATACCTAGGAGTAATTTTTAAAGAAACACCGAATTGGAAAACCCACGTGGCAGGGGTTAAATCGTCAGCCCCAAGGATTGTTGGGTCTATTGTACACTTCTTCTTCACAAAGGGAGAAGAACATAACAGTCTGTGGATAATTTCCTTGGCATAATACATCACGGTTGTTCAGCTCAATTCCACCGTCCATCCCGTGATCTCTCCTCTTGGTTTGCAACTCCCTGATGGGGGCAGGGGTTCCCCTGATTTGGGGCCCCCCAATTCATCACCAGCCAGCTGGCCAGTGGGGGAGCCCCATCCCATAAGAACATAAGAGATGCCAATGTTGGATCAGGCCAAAGGCCCATCCAGTCCAACACTCTGTGTCACACAGTGGCCAGAAATACCAGTGCCATCAGGAGGTCCAGCAGTGGGGCCAGGACATTAGAAGCCCTCCCACTGTTGACCCGCCCCAAGCACCAAGATGACAGAGCATCCCTTGCCCCAGAGTCCCTATCTACACCTTGTGGCTAATAGCCACTGATGGACCTCTGCTCCATATGCTTATCTAATTCCCTTTTGAAGCCGTCCATGCTCGTAGCCGCCACCACTTCCTGTGGCAGTGAATTCCATGTGTTAATCACTCGTTGGGTGAAGAAGTACTTCCTTTTATCCGTTCTAATCCGACCGCTCAGCAATTTCATGGAGTGCCCACGAGTTCTTGTATTGTGAGAAAGGGAGAAAAGTACCTCTTTCTCTACCTGCTCTTTCCCATGCATAATCTTATAAACCTCAATCATGTCACCCCTCAGTCGTCGTTTCTCCAAGCTAAAGAGCCCTAAGCGCCTTAACCTTTCCTCATAGGGAAAGTGTTCCAACCCTTTTATCATTCGAGTCTCCCTTTTCTGCACTTTTTCCAAAGCTATAATATCCTTTTTAAGGTGTGGTGACCAGAACTGCACACAGTATTCCAAATGAGGTCGCACCATTGATTTATATAGGGGCATTATGATATTGGCTGATCTGTTTTCAATACCCTTCCTAATAATCCCCAGCATAGCATTGGCCTTCTTTATTGCAGTCACACATTGTCTCGACATTTTCAGCGAGTTATCTACTACAACTCCAAGATCTCTCTCTTGATCCCAGAAGAACCCGCTGTGTGGGGGATGCTCTAGCATTTGGCTAAAAACTCTATGGTGACCATAAAGTTTTTAGTCAAATACTAGTGTTCCCTGTACAACATGCCCGGCGTGATGACATCATCTTGGCGTGTACGCTTTGCACACACACCAGAAGACCCTGGCACAAAGCCAGGAGCCCCCCACTGGCAGACGGGTAAGACCTGGCAACCCTATCTCCCACCCCCAGTTCCTCTGGCCAGCCACTGCTCCTGTTGCTGGCCCTGCTTCCAGGGGAAACCTGGAAGTGATGTCACACCACTCTAGGAACTGCAGGAAACTCTGTGGTTGCCAGCAGCTGGCAACCCATGTAGCTCGTTGTTAAGAAAGTGATGCTACAGGAACATAGCTGGTCTTCTGTGGACTGTGTTCTCCCTGAGGCTTGGACCATAAGAATCCTTATTCGTTTGGCTTCGTGTTTGTATACCAATGTGAGCATGAGCCCCAAGCCATGCTAACCTTATCTAGAAATGTATCGACCACTTGTCTAATGGTACAACCAATCAAGGCAGTCAACTGAAACCTTGCAATTGTGATATTAAATACAAAGCATCAGATAACACAAGCTAATATTAAACAGGAAGTAAACTTGAAGTATCAGGTGCCACCCGAAATACCCCCGTCCTCTAAACACCAGCCTATTTTAACCTGCCACTTGAGAGAGTACTTGGGGGGGGGGGAGAGAATTTTTGAGTGAAAACAGGACCATTTTTGTTCATCACATTACCGTGAAGCCTCCTCCTCCAGCTTCTTTTTCTGCACCAGCTCGGCTCTCTTCTTCTCGAGCTCTCTGACTTTATCTTGTCTGATCTTGTGGAGCTGCTCCAGGGCTACCTGCTGGGTGTTGTAGGTCTCCCTTAAATCCTGGTAAGGAAACGTAAGAGGCAAATGAGCAAACACAAAACTGAGGGGGGGTCCTTTTTAATTTAAGAAAACTAAAGTGACTGCGTGTATGGCAATCCTAGCCCTGATGCCAACCAGCAAGGTCGCACTACACAAAACAACCCACCGTCTCCCTTACAATAAAGTCAAGCAGCAAAATTCAAAACCAGCAGATTTATCAGTTTTTCCTGATGTTTACAGTTCAAGAAAACCTTCCTGCAGTTAGACACGGGGGAATTGAGTACCGGCACAATTAGCTCATTTTACTAGAACTACAAAGTACCTTGATCAGTATGTGAGAAAAAGCCAGGGAATTATTAAAGGAAAGGGGTACTTGGCACAGAATTCAGCTTATGGCTTAGGCTTGCTATTCTACTCTCTGAAGGGGGGGGGGGAGAACTATAAGAGGTATATAAGGCTTTTCACACTTACATTAACTCCCAGCAAACACACAGTTAAGGATACCAAATATTACAAGTTAAGAAAACATACAATGTTTTTGTACAGATATAGACTGGAGTATATGATTCTTGTATTTGTGACAAAAAGGAAGAAACTATCCATGTTACCAAGACTGCGTTCACAAGAGCACCAGGAATAATTCCTCCCTCGGCTCTTGGCAGGGTATTTTTTTGTGCCGGGACCTTTAATGAATCCACTTGTTTCGCTTTCTAAGGAACCAAGTGGAGAACAGGCCATAAAGTGAAAAACAACTGACTACTTCTGCATCCCTTTAGATTTGGAATCATCTTGTGGCTTGCCGGTGCTTTTCAAGCAGTATGCACGCAAGTTCAAAATCCCAGGAACAGTTTCAGTCAGATGCAACATAACTGACCCTTAAATTTCTTCAGCATCTATGTGCAGTACTGACCAATGCTCCCTCTAATCTGTGGAGTCTTGTGAACAAAAATTCTACTTTGTGAGCTACTGGCGTTAAAGTTGTGAGTGAGCAATTTGGCTGCTGCATAAATTTGTTTGCTCTGGAGCCATCCTCCTGAGCTACGACAAAAATGTGTGAGCCGGAGGCTAAAAAACGGAGCTAGCTCACACTAACTCACCTTAGAGGGAACACTGGTACTGACTACTGAATACCAATGAAAAGGGCAACAAGGGCTGCGGTCACACGGAGCATTAGGCACGCTAGATAGACAGAAGATAGGCGGATTTTCCGGGCGTGATCTCACCGCCACATCTGGGAAGCGTAGAGCTCCCGTGGCTCACCCGAGGCTTCCCTCCGAAGATGCGCTGTAAAAAACTAGTACCTCCAGCGGCATTTACGAGATGAGGGGGAAAAAAATCTTCCTTCTCTTCCCTTCACAAGAACAGTCCGTGGCCAAACGGATGGAATTCAAGGACAAGGATTGTCCTGTGATTGGCAGCTCCCCCCTAACCACGGGACCTCCATGGGAGGTCTGATCACGCAACCGCGCGTTATTTTGCCCCGGGGCAAACAGCCACGCGTCCCCCCCACATTTTCCGGCCCGTGTGACCGGAGCCAATATATGTTTCACAAGCCAATGCCAGCATTCTGACTGCAGATATTTCAGAAGGCACTCTACCATGTTGAAGAAACTTTCTGCACGTATTAGATCAAGATGGGTAGCTGTGTTTGTCTGTCTGTGGCAGTAGAAAAGAGTAACAGTCCAGTAGCGCGTTAAAGACTAACCAAATTTGTGGTAGGGTGTGAGCTTTCGTGGGTCACAGCTTTCGTGGGTCACAGCTGAAGAAGTGAGCAGTGACTCACGAAACCGCATACTCTACCACAAATTTTGATCGTCTTTAAGGTGCTCCTGGACTCTTACTCTTTTCATCTGTATTAGTTGCTCATTATTTGAATAACCACAACAACTCTTTTGGGCAATCTTTTTTTTAAAAAAAGAAATATCTTCTAGTATTTTTAAAGCTCACTAAATACACACACACACATGAGGGGTTATTGTGATGTGTGGTGGTTCCCAATATTGCCTATCATTTCATAATCCTGCATGCCTAAGAAATGAAACCCGAGTAGGACTATGTAGACTAAAAGGCCATCCTACACAGACACGAGTCGATCTGCTCATCAATGGCTCTGAAGGAGTTCTCTGAGGCAGAGTAGCAAGCCCACAACCAGCGGCATTTACGAGATGAGGGGGAAAAAATCTTCCTTCTCTTCCCTTCACAAGAACAGTCCGTGGCCAAACATGGATGGAATTCAAGGACACACTTTTACTTTCTCCCATACTGAACTTGGGGGCATTGCTCTCCTTTGCTCATGACAAAGCAGATCAAAAGTGCAATTCTTTGCTTTCACTTGTAATTTGTAATGATTATAACCAAACCACAGAAATGTCCTTATGGGCCCAGATTTCAAGATACCGGGCCAGGTAAGAGTTCCATGGGACGGAGAAACTTTTATTTCAACCTCGTTGGCATGTTTAGACACCTATTCTTGATTTACTCTCTCTGGATCCACATATGAATCCGAATTGACAGAGAGTCTGAGAATTCAAGGGAGCTACCGTTAATGCAACATCACCAGTGAAGAAAGAGATCTAATCTCTTGTCTTAAAACTGCTTGTAGCTATTGTCATGGCTATTCAACAGTCATGGGAAAACAACCAAAGGACAGGATGCACCTCTGCCATGCCCTCCCAAACAATTTAAACAGATTCTACACACTCTCATTCACCAGTATTCTAGCTTTACATTAAGTATATGTATCTAGATAGAATATTTCCCACTCTACACAGTCAAAAACCTTCTCCAAGTCTTTAAAAAAATAGCATAAGTTTCTTTATATTTGTTTCATTTTAATAATGCTATGTATCAAACGCCTTTATGTATGTATCAAACACCTTTACCTGGCATTTTCCTACCAGATAAAAAACCTGCATGATTTTATTAACATACTTGGGGATTCATTTTTTTAGCCTAGAGGTAAAATTGTCCACATTTCAACATCTTGATTCGAACAACAATTGGCCAATACATATCCAGAGAAGGTGGTTCTTTCTCTGGTTTAAGATGAAATAGAAATTTCATCCCCAGATTATGGTACAGTTTCTTGATTTTTTCCTCCCATTGATGAAAACTGACACAATATTTGGTGGTAATTTAGTAATCCCCCAAAGAATTTATTATTTTTAAAGTTATAACAACTTTAATATCTTTCACACTGACTGGGGCTGGAAGTATCTGAATACCTTCTCTCATTTTTTTGGTATTTTTCATATGGGCATGTGTGTGTGTGTGTGCATGTACGTGCAAGTGTATGTGTACCTGGAAGTAAGGGAGACCTCTGGTGACTGACCTATAGTGGGGGCCTGGAGGATATTCAGTGAGGTGGCTGAATAAAGCCTGCCCCCGCCTCCCTACTGATGGTATTCCTTGGAGGTCTCCCATCCAAGTACTTGCCAGAGTCGACCCTGCTTAGCTTCTGAGATCTGACGAGATCGGGTTTGCCCGGGCTGTCCAGGTCAAGGCAACAATCTCAAATTGATAAGAAATCCAGGGATGGTAAGTCTCCCATTACAAACTGAATGGAAGTCTTGTATACGTCCAAGCAGACCAGCCAATCACTTGCTTCATATTCCTCAATCCATTGTTTTCATGATCTGTAAAAAGCACCGCACCCCATGGCAGCAACACACTGCATTGCAGCAACAAACATAGCATGTGTCCAGAACAAAATTAAAACAGGTGCATTGGTACTGCTAAGTATACTATGTACGTGAGGGTAGTGAGGGTGCTGAAACTGGGCACTACGGCCAAGTGTTTGTATTGTCAAGAGGCAATGTACAGGGGGCGGGGTTTTCGGCAAGCTAATGGCAGCTGTGTCACCTGGGTTCTCCCAGGGATGCGGCTTGCAAATCAGCAGTTAGGGGGTGCGAACATACGCACCCCCCGGAGACTCTTGCGAAGAGTCTCCAGTCATGGAGCGCTGAGGGTCGCCTCTTTCCCGGCATGCTGTCGGGAAATTAAGGGGTCCCTTTGCTCCGACGGTCTCTCTGCTGTGTTCCGGCAAGGACTTAGCTACGCACACCCCATCAAGCGAGTGGAGGTCCAGCGGTCAGTATGCATATCTGTTGGCGAGATCTATTTGATCTACATATGAAGAGTGTTCTCTGAAATTTGTGTCTAAGTTAAATGGCGACTCTCCTGGATTACTCTTCATATAGTCAGATTTGTTGGGAAGATTTCACAAGCTATGATGATGATTGATCACTCTCAATGTTAAAGAAAGCTTTTTACCATTGTTAAGCAAACTTTTTACAAGCGTATGTGATCTCCAACCCTTGGGTTTTTAGTGGGTTTTCTTTTCTTTCTCCTATAGTGTGTAGTCTCCCTCCATAATTTCATTGTAGTTTTTAGTAAATGCAAATTAAAAAATCCCCTACGGGGGGCTATTAAAAAAAAAAAGAGGCAATGTACAAATTCACAAGGGAAAGGAGGCGATGTCCCACATTTTAATTTCTAAGTGATTTGGGGAGACAAAAATCTTCACACAAAATGAAGATTTCCCTGCATGTTCAGAACAAGGACAAAAACCTACTCTAACCTTCTCAATGGTCTTTCTTTTGATGCCTAGCTGAAATGACCGGTCTAGTGAAATTCAGGCCTTTTTAAAGAAGACAATCCTGCCCAACCAGCCTTGATTCCATTACAGATAGCTCTTTAACCCTTATGATAGACAGAAAGCAACATGCAATACATTACATGTCCCTTGTCAGTCTTATCTAAGAAGCTGGTGACATTTATGTTAAGTAACTGACGATATTAGAGCCAATTTGCTAGCGAGACTAACTTGATATAGTTTCAAGCAGAAAGTGTTTATATGCAGAAAGTCGTCATAAGCAAGTAGAAAGGCAAAGGGGAAAAAAAGAAGCTCTATTCACATTCCGTAGCACAGATAGGTTGCTTAAGCAAGATTTTCAGTTAAACGCTCGAGAAACGCAACATTTAAAAAAAACAGAGGAAACTGTGAAATAATTAAACGCAAAAAAAGGGCAAAGATTAGAAAATAACCTTAAGTAAGAGGAAGAGGTTGTTCAGACAGCTTAGCAGACACAAAAGGCATTGGAGAACAGAATCATCCACAGTGTCACACTGCAAGATAAGGCAGATAATTTTTAATAAAGCCATTACACTTTGCGCACTGGATTGGTTAGATAGGTAGGAAACTGCTAGAATTGTAATGGGATCCATCTGAACCATTCCCAATAAGCATGTCAGGCAGTAATGGTGGCACCTCAATTTTTGAAGAAGGCACCAAATCCCGCCTCCCCCCATTATTGTCGATAGCATTATACAATCTACACATCTATGCAACACTAGTAATATAGCAGGGGACCCCAACCCTTTTGAGCCTGCGGGCAGATTTGGAATTCTGACACAGCACGGTATGCACAGCGACAAAATGGCTGCCACAAAATGGCTACTGCAGGAGGAGGAGCCAGCCACAAGATAATTGTCAGAGCTTAACTTCAGTTAACACAGTGTAGACCTTTGTGCTCTGGTGGCAGCTGCTGCCAAAGCTACATTTTAAAAAATCTGCACTGCCAATCAAATCTCCAACAGCCAATCAGAAGCCTTGCTGGGCAAAAGCCCTACCTGGCCCCATCCACTTCCTTCAAACCCTTGGTGGGCACCAGAAAAAAGTGTTGGCGGGCACCACGGTGCCCACAGGCACCATGTTTGGGACCCCCATCATACAGCATTAATGGTTCACACCAATACTGCTGCAAACCAGAAACTGAATGATTCAGAGCAAGAGCCGTCCTGATTCTTGTTACATGGTGAAAAAGTAGGTGGGAACAGACGGCCATCCTATCTGTTTTTGCTACGTGGCCCGCTTTTATTAGCCACAGGAATATTAAAAACATTATTTTGCACTTCTGCATGGTTGATACAATGTTGAGGAACGTTAACTCAGACTTAGGGTTGGCAATTCCCCGATGGGGGGCGGGTTCCCCCCTAATTTCGGAGACTTCAATTCGCCGCCAGCCAGCTGGCCAGCGGGGAGCCCCACACCCAAAGAGCCCTGCCACGTCCGATGTGATGATGTTATCTGGAGGTGATGTCATTGTGCTGGGTACGTTGCGCATGGTATGCTCTAGCGTCTAGCTAAAAACTCTATGGTGACCATAGTGTTTTTAGCTAGATGCTAGAGCACCCCATGCACAACGTACCCAGCATTGTACAGGGGATGCTATAGAATTTGGTTAAAAACTCTATGGCGACCATAGAGTTTTTAACCAAATGCTAGAGCATCCCCTGTACAACATGCACAGTGTGATGATGTCACTTCCAGGTGACGTCATCGCGGTGCGTACACTTTGCATGTATACCAGAAGACCCCAGTACCAAGTCAGGAGCCCCCCGCCAGCAGACAGGTAAGACCTAGCAACCCTACTCAGACTCGTGGTGGAAATTGCTGTCAAGTCACAGCCAACGTATGGTGACCCCACAATGAGGTTTCCAAGGGAAGAGACATGGGTTGCCACTGGGACTCTCTTGATGGCTGCCCATCCAAGTGCCAATCAGCACCGACCCAGCTTAGCTTTCAAGATCTGATGAGATCAGGTTAGCCTGGGCCATCCACGTAAGCGTTAATTCAGTCTACAGTGGTCTTGCTGCCATGTGGGATGGGGCACAGTAGCTCTTTCCCCAGGAAAACCCCTGGTGGGCTGCTGCACAGAGGCCCCCTGGTGGCCAGGAGCAAGGGGAGCCAAGTGGCCCCTGTGGTACTGGCAGTCTCAGGGGGGATGGCTTGGACCCAGAAGGCACAACAATGACAACAGGGCAAGCTTCCACCCACTGCCACGGCCATCGCTGCTGTCCAGAACCAAGCCAAGCAGCCCTGGGACCGTGCTGGCACCATGGGACAGAGCCACATTTGATGAGGGCGTTCCGGGATTGCTTTAATATCCTGATCTGCCCCTGTACGGGGGAGAGGGGAGAACCAGGAACCACAAAACGCTGACATCAGCAGCTGATGTCTTTAACTTCTCAAGTCAGTGGTGCACAACGAACACCAAGCGAGAGGTGACGAGTTCAGACACAGAACCAGTGTACGGGGGAGAGGGGAGAACCAGGAACTGCAAAACGCTGACATTGGCAGCTCACGGTCTTTCACTTCTCAAGTCGGTGGTGCACAATGAACACCGAGCAAGAGGTGACGAGTTCAGACACAGAGCCAGAACGAAGAAGAAAAATCTTTCCGAGGAGAGGCGTCCAACACAGCCAGGAAGAG